CCCCCCCCCCCCCCCCCCCCCCGGTTCTCACATCTTCTCTGTTCATCTTGCATCAAGTTCTCTCGTTCTTCAGCCGTAGTTTTCTAGATTTCTTTGTCGGAGTCTCCGACAAGCCAGTCATCAAATAGCTCCTCTGTTGCGAAATGCTGCTTCCAAATGCCACCCCCCGCCCAACACACCTTTTTTTCCCTCTCCTGCTGCTTGCTAGATACTGGTTTTTAGATTCAAGTAGACGCCGGCACTTTTTGCTGTTGTTAATCTTGAGCAAGTTTCTTATCGTCCTGGGCCTTAATTTCCTTTTAAGAATAGAAATAATACCCAACTCATAGGCTTGTTGTGAGGATTATTTGAGATAATTACGAAAAATTCACTGTTGGACCTCCCAGACACACAGGAAGCACCCAGTAAATACAGCAGCACTTACCATCTCATCTTAATTTTCCCGCACCACCTGTAGTCCTCTGTGACCTTCTGCCCCGCCACCAGACTCACTGACAGCAAGTGTTCACACTCCCTTCCAGCAGTTTTCACACTCTGCCCCCCATTTTGCTGGGGATTCTCTTTTAAGGTATATGCTGTAGCTACAGACCTAATTTTTATATGGGATTAAAAGTTTTATCCTCTTCTCCCGCTTGTAAGTGTCTCTGATTTTTTACTTCTTGCTGTTCCACCTGTGCCTCCAACAAGATCCTATCTTTCACTTTAAGGAACTGTGTGAATTGTATGTGCTGTTATGTTTGAAGAATGGTAAAACTTTTATCTTTATTTTTAGAAAAAATGTAGAAGACTTCACTGGACCTAGAGAAAGAAGTGATCTGGGATTCATTACGTTTGATATAACTGCTGATATCCTTTAAGAAAATATTTTATTGCCTTCTCTGTAGTGGTGTAATGATATGCATGTTGTTTAGTGATTTTGGGGGAGGTAGAGTAGTCTCACTATCCCCTGAATCAACCAAACTTTAGAAGTTTCTATAGGTATATTTCCATTAGTAAAATAGTTTTAATATCTCCTCATTCACACTTGAGAAAATTTATTTATGGATTCTTCGGTTATTATTTTGTGAACCGATTTTAAACTTTTCACAGAAACGTTAAACAGAAAGCTTGAAGAGAGTTTGAATATTTCAGAAAGAAAAAAATAGAATCAGGTCGTTTGGATTATAGAAAGAGAAATGTTAGCAGTGCTCAGCCTTCCTAGATTGATTATTTCATGTACAGTCCCAAGTAATATATCCATATTTCATGATAGCAGAGAGAAACATATGTTAAAAAAGTTAATTGTCATCTGTTAAGGTTTAGAAGGTCATTATCAGTATGATTATTTGCAAACCATATTAGAATTTTGCCATTATGGTTTTTTTAATAAGTACTTTTATAAGGAGAGTCAAGAGAAATCTTAACGTTTATAAGAGTTACTTTAAAATGGGAATGATTTAATCTTTTTCTTTTGAATTTCCACCATTTGATAACTGTCCATTTTGGCCAATGTAATCTTTTATGGTCTTAGATTAATATGTTGGCAGCATTGTTCTCTGCCATGTCGTCTGATCACACCTACCTTTTTCAGACCTCAGGATTAAAATTGGCTATGGTGATTGCACTGTCCGGACTTCTGTACAGCCACTGTCTGAACAGTCGAAGCAGATGACGAACCCGGGGAGTTTACCTGATAGGGCTCTTGACTGCCGTGGAATTACTTTAACTTGATTTTTTAGAAATAAAGTGTTGGGTTTAGAAGTAGACTAGAAATTAGTTCTCTAGGCACTTTGTGAGGAGATAGTGTAACTGTCGGAAGAGTCCTATGGGAAACTTGGTATATCTGCTTTTAAGTTTTTGTGTCATTTTAAAACAGTCTGGTAAGAGGGAGTTTGGATCTCTTCCACAAGTAGTAACTTTATCTGGAGAATTACAGTGAAATTTCCTGACATCTCAACTACTGTATTTATATATTCTCAATCTCATCATTTGTAGTTTTTCTTAATGCTGCTGCTAAAACTTGAAATTGGGCCTGTTTTTACAAAGAGCTATCGTAGACTTCAGTTCTAAAAGCAGAATATAATGACCATGTTGCTATCAGTATGTATAAAGGCGTGTAATGAAATGACTTAGCCATTTACATATGATACTTAATAAAATCCAGACACTTAATTCATTTCATTTTGCAGTGACACCGGTCTTGTAATTAATCATTGTGAATTTTTTTTTTGCACTCTGGTAAGCTGAGGAAATTGGATTGACGTTCAGCTGCATATTCTTACCAAAGCACTTCGTGGACTGAGACATTTTGATCTCCGTTGGCATGGGCTCAAAAGCAACATGAACATTTATTATATTTCGTTTAATTACATGAGCTGATTCATGTTTGTCTGTCAGTAAATTTAAACTATGATGATTGGTTATACTTTAGAACTTCCGTGGAATTGAATATGCCTCAAAGATTAAATCCTCTTTCTTTTAGACTTGGCTAATGTTACAGAAAGCTAAATTTTGTATTGTTCTGTTACTTTCTTACTAAATCATGGTTAGAGGTACAGGGGAATGATGCTAGTAATCTCACTGACACATATTTTTTTATTTTGAAATGAGATTTTATAATATATTTGTCTTTTATGTGTTTTTATTAAACTAGTGTCTCAGTATGTTTCTGAGCCACCTCTCTTTTTTCTATTTTAGTATTAGTATTGCTGTGGATAATTAAAAATAGGATTGATTTAGAAGTTGTTTGCTGCTTTATGATTTTTATGTTCCTTAATTTGTTTACATCTAGAGAATATATTTGATTGGAATGTTAAGCAGTTGTTTCTTTATTTATCAGCAGAATATTCAACTAAAAATAATGTAAGTATATATATATATAGAGAGAGAGAGATGTATTTTAATAATCTTTAAAATCTCATTCTTTATGAAAGGATATAAATCTTACATATTCAAAATATCTGACATGAGTCGTTCAGTAAAAATCCTAAGCCTCTGGAGAGGTGACTACTAAGAAAACATCTCTTTTGGTTGGTAGCCTTTTTTTTTTTTCTGTTACTATAGCTGTCTAGTATTCTTATCCCCAGAATGCGGTGCATGCAGGGTAATCTGTAGGTATATAAGGAAAATCACTAAGAGCTATTATTTCTTCTCTTACAGAGTTAGGAAGACTTGCCAGTTTTTCAGTTCATTAGCTTTTCACTTGATGTTAAGATGGAGTGGCAACTGCCAAGCTCCTGATCTGTACTGGAAACGAGAACTCTAGCTATATATTTTTGTTTAAAAATAAAAGGGAAAGAAGCCAAACTGTATGAGTACTTGCAATATGGACTGACATTCATAGGCTCAGTCCCATGGTCAGACGGTCGCATGTCTCCGACAGCATGCAGGTTCTCGGGGGGAAAGAGGAGGAATTCTGTAGGGCAGAATGACCATTCTGCATGCAATTTATTTGTTCAAGTTCAGCGTTTTATAAAGTTGTACAGTATAATCCAGTTCAGTGGGTGATGTTACATAGTTTTAAATAAACAAATCTCACAAAATGGAAAAATGGCTTAAAAACATTCCTGCAGAGAAGTTACACACTGAAAATAACACAAATGGTTCAACCACATGTAAGCAGCAGGAACACGGCAGAGCTGATGTGTGTGTTCCTCATTGGAGCTGCTCGGCCACATTAATGGATTAGAAAAAGAGAGAACCTAGAAAGATCTAATACAAAGTTGGCTGAGAAAATTCAACATTGGTCAGGAATATTATTAGAAATGCAAATTTACGTTCATTATCAGTGGTGATACATCGTCTAATGGCAATAGTGGTGTGTACTATGTACAGAATTTGTAAATAAATGCATATTTTGGGTTTGTGCTCAAAATAATTTGTGCTCAAATCTTTCAGTACCATTTCCAGTGATAAGCTCAGAAAGGCTGTTGTTGAATTAGGAGTGTACTAAGAAATGGGGATGTGGAGTTGCTGTGCGGGTATAGGATTTTTTAAGCTGAAGTATTCTTTCCATAGCTTTGGAGAAAAGATGGCAAGATGCTTGAATTAACAAATCAACAAAATCTGTGACCTGTGTTTACAACTCTCATTATCCATATATGTAATAAAAAACTATAAAGATAACACATTTTTTAATCCTATCAGGTTATTTTAAAATCCGCCTAAATATTTTTTTTTTTTTGTATTTTTATTTTGATGTGAGCTGTTCTGATCATCTTACTAAGCCGTATAGCCACAATTAACATCTCCATCTGTTGAGAAATATTTTCCTTTGCTTTGGAATTGTATGGGATTCACCAATTTCAGGATTTAAAAGTAGTCTTTTTAATCATAAACTAGAGCTTATCAGAAGTTTTGTCATTAAAAGCTACTAAACTATTAGATTAAAACACTTAAAATTATTAATTTGTGATTGAAATTTACTGGTTCAGCCTGATTTAGAGCTTTTGTTGCAGATGAGAGGAAGGACTGAGATTTTTTTTTTTTTTTTTTTTATAGATTTTATTTATTTGTTAGAGAGAGCAAGAGACACAAGCAGGCAGAGCAGCAGAGGGAGAGGGAGAAGCAGGCTCCCCACTGAGCAGGGAACGTGATGCGGGGCTCAGTCCCAGGACCCTGGGATCATGACCTGAGCTGAAGGCAGTTGCTTAACCAACTGAGCCACCCAGATGCCCCAGAAAGACTGAGATTTTTATATAGGATGTTGCTAAAACAGAAATCCCTGAAAGTGTTAAGTGAACGATTGTGATAAATGAATTAAAATATGAAGGTGAAATCCATGGAATTAAAATATGCTTCTGTGTTGTTTTCACCCTCATGTTTGTTATCAGCGTAGTCTAGAGGTGATTTGTAGTTAGAGATGAGTCTACTTCTGTATTTTATTGGAACTATGTTCACTTTCAAGGGATGAAAAATTAACTTTATCTGCTGATTGGCTTGATTAGTTAACTGGAATTTTTAGTACTTCAATTCATTTTACATTCATTTTGATCGAGCATGTCTTTTATGCCAAATATTTTGTTAGGCCCTAGGATTACTGGGTTGTGTAGGTTTTGAACCCTGCCCTTGAGAATCAACAGAATGTTAGAACATATAGAAAAAGCTATTCTGAAGGTAAGAGTAATGACTGTATACACACATATCATTCTATAGCTCTCAAAAGATTATTTGAATTAATATGTTACCTTCTTGCTGACAGGTATATCTAAATTATATTCATAATTCTGGTTTACCCCAGTGTGACTAGTAAGTTAATACAACTGGGAACTTGACAGATCATTGCTTTGGTGAAGGAATAAATGTGTATTAAAAAGTCATTTCACTTTGGCATATTTTAGATTATATATTCTTCAGGTTTGATGTTTCTGTTTTATGCTAGAAAGAGGCTTTGTGGTGAAGAATTGAACCTTCTTAGAAATAATGTCCACATTTCTTTTCAGCGAATGTAGTCACCACATGCTGAGCAACTGACCTTCCAGGCTAAATAATGGATGATAGCTTACTAAGAACAGATTTCTTGGGATTAATAGTGGTCACAGATGTGTTTTCTCTGCACTTTATGCTCCTCATTTTCCAAACAGAACTTGTTTTTGATGTGTCAAAAAGAATTGACTTCTAGAACATTCGATAATAAAACAGTGATGTGTCTATGATTAATGTAAAGGAAAAATATTTAGAAGGCTTCATTTCTTTAGTGATTCCTTGGTAATGTTAAGACCTTGGAGATACATAGATATTCCTGACCTAATCTGGCCGCAGAGACCTGTGTGAGGAGCGTGATGGAGCAGGAGTAGCTGTCTCAGTTTCCTGACACTTTTCAGAGTCCACACTGGACTGGAGGGTCTCAGAAATTTTACGGGGAAAAGTGATTTAGGAGTATGCTTGCTTGCTTTCTGATGATTCTAATCCCTCTGTTTCTCCAAGGGCCCCACTCTGGAGTGCACATGAGTCTAAATAAAACCTTAGAGTAAGCTTTGAGGGCCCTAAATAATACAGTTGTTTTAGCAAAAGCAATGATTTGCTTTAGGGAAATAATCTTTTGTCCCAGAAAAGTTCAACTTCTTGTATCTATCCACTTATTTTGTTACGCTCTAGGATTTTAGCAATTCCCTGAAAACGTGTATTCATTAATGTAAATTAAAGTATTTGCATAGCACTGCTTTTAATTTGAAGTGACAGAGTTGTAAGTTCTGATGAGTTATCTAATTTTCATTTTAATGTAGGCTCTGAACCAAGTTGTCCTTTGGGACAAGATTGTTCTGCGAGGTGATAATCCAAAGCTGCTGTTGAAAGATATGAAAACAAAATATTTTTTCTTTGACGATGGAAATGGCCTCAAGTGAGCAGTTCTTTGTCATTCTTTTTTTTTTTTTTTTTAAGGTTTTATTTATTTATTTGACAGAGATTACAAGTAGACAGAGAGGCAGGCAGAGAGAGAGAGGGAAGCAGGCTATGCGGGGCTCGATCCCAGGACTCTGGGATCATGACCTGAGCCAAAGGCAGAGGCTTTAACCCACTGAGCCACCCAGGCGCCCTGGTTCTTTGTCATTCTTTACATGTAATTAAATATGTGGGGGAGAGAATTATATAATGTACTTTTGTTTTTAAGAAAGTGATTAGAGGGTAAAAAGGGGAAAGTTGAGAGAGATAAATACAGATCTGATCTGGAAGATTGGGTAGAAACACTGCCACAGACACGGGTCTAAGATGAGCGCTGAGTTCTCGTGCGGTAAGTGAAATGGCCCAGTCGCACTGAGAAAGGCCCTTAGCTGTTTCTGCTGTGACCTTTGCAGGGGGCCTGGGCTTGCCCACCTGGAGATAGGAACTGCCGTTGGAAGGGGCTCCTTCTGGAATGGGAGACGAATTTGTCAGGGGGCCCTTCAGGAGGAGGTAGTGTGTGTGTCCAGGATTGACACTGAGGGTTCCAGCTGTGCTTAACTTCTCTGAACCCCCTTTCCTTCCATGCACAGGGAAAGAATTAGAATAACTGAGATTTTGGGTCATTTTAGCTCGTAAGCTCTGTGAGTAAACACTGGAAAGGAATTTACGGGAGAGCTGTTGTAACCAGACCTCAGGTTTTGCAGATGAAAAATTGGAGCCACGAAAGATGATTTGTTCACAGTCTAGACAAGGAGAAGATTCTATTTCAAATCATCACCTTCTGGTATCTAGCTCAAATCTCTTTCTATATTCTCGCTCTGTTTTACTCAGTTGAGCTTTCTGACCCATAGCTCTAATGACCGGCGCTGTGAGTGAGTTTACTTAGGTCACTATGGGATGCCTGCGGATACAATGCTGGCTTTCCAGCGTCGTTCCTGGATTTCAAAGACTTGAGAGGACTTCTGTTGGTAGATTAGGATTCCGGCTACAAATAGCTGGTTATGAAGTATTTGAACCCCAGTGCTTGAGTTAAATGTTTTTGTTGAACTAAAAATGTTTCTGCTGACATCTAATAAACATGTTTATTCTGTCTTTTATAGGGGAAACAGGAATGTCACTTTAACCCTCTCTTGGAACGTTGTACCAAATGCTGGAATTCTACCTCTTGTGACAGGATCAGGTCACGTATCTGTCCCATTTCCAGATACATATGAAATAACGAAGAGTTATTAAATTATTCTGAATTTGAAACAACATATTTTTATACTTAATGAGTCATATCTTGTTTTTCTCTTCCCTTGCATCTTCATTTCGTTGTTACTTTTCTTTTTTTACGGGGGGTGGTTTAAGAACTAACATCAAAGGCATAGTTGAAGGGGAAAGGTTAATGTGCTACTTAATTTTACAAGCAAAACACACAAAAAAGGCCACCAGAATATTATAAAATTATAAAAACAAGACAACTACACAATAAAGATTTGTAAAAAATTTATGTTTGAGGTATTCCCTGTATGTCCATGGTTCCTTATGGAATATACAGTGAGCATGAAGGGTAGTTAAAACTTTTAGGTGCCTGTGGAGTTAGAAGAACTGTATTTTATGCTTCGCATTCATGCAGGTTCACATTGGATGTGATGCAGAAGTGGACATTCTCTTTTTAGGGTATGTTGCATTACCAGAAAAATTAAAATGGTTATTTGTAAGACACCTGGTTTACAGAACAGCCAGAAGTGATGGAATTGGATTCCATTTGTCTCTGGAATGCCCCATATGCTTGTTTTCCTTACAGGTGACTAGCAACTTTCTCCACTTAAAGACTAAATACCTCTTTATATGCTGTAAATCATTCTAACTCATTTTAAAGTCTCTTAAGTCAACCAAGTATGTGTGTCTCAGTGCTTTCTCTAAAAATGTTCCTTTGTATTATATCTTTGTGTGAATTGTTAGCATTGCCATTGAAAGTTGAAAATGTTTGCATGGTTTACCTTTTGAGTTACGTTTGTTCTTGTGAGCATGCCTAGTGCCATGAGTGGTAGTTATTTAAAAGTTTCTAGGTCCACATTTTAATAATTATTGGGGTAATAATATTGTTGGTGCGCTTTTCCACTTAGAAGCACTCTGTCTCCTATATTTTTACTGTGTGTTATCCTCGATGATCTAATGAGGTAAGTAGTACAGATGTTAGCTCTTTGCAGATGAAGAAACTGAAACCCGGAAGTTTATTGAATCGCTTTGAGGATTCATACCTAGCAAGGAAGATAGTTAAAACTTCAGTCATTCTCTAAGCTTATCCTTTCTCCTGTAGCTCAGAGTATAGACCAATCAAAATTCACTTACAATTTTCATTATGTTTTATGTTACCCTGGACACCCTCAAGCTGCCAACAACTTATGTAGAGATAATACCTCATTTCATTCTCTGCATAAATTAATATTACTTAAAAGTAGAAGAATCCAGATGTATGTAGAAATGATTTAGAGATTAAATGCAGAATAATACATGGTTGACTATATGATCATATTGAACGTGATTTTTTCCTACGCTGAGCAAATAAACATGCTCAAGGAAGCAACTACAAATTAATTACCCTTAAAAGCAAGACCAAACACTGTAGTTACACTATCAGCAGTAACCAAAAAGGGCTAATGTTTCCTAAGAATGGGTTTCAATTAACAGTTGTTGTATTTACCTCATCAGAAATACATCATTTAATTATGGTGGTTTTTACAGCTGTTGTATGTGAGAGCATGTGTTCCTGTTGAAAGTCAAAGCTGTCGTATCATGAATACCAGACTGGGTTTGGCTCCCAGCTTTTTTACTAAACTGTTCAGGGTCTCGGTTTCTTTATCTAAAATGACAGAGTCGGACTCACTAACTTAAATAGTGGTTCTTTTATATACCACACAAGTCTGTAAAATTTGTGCTATCCGTTCAGCAGAGAGATTGAACAGAAAGCACCTTAGTAACGTGAAGGCAAGGAGATGACCGGGAAGACTAACCCATAACTATTCTGTGCTGATTGGACTATATTTCTGATAGATTTTTATGCCCAGAACATTTAACCTCGTAGGTACAAATAGAACACATGGAAATATAGTCTCTGTAGATGTCAAAGCTGAAAAATTGGGTACGGGCATTCAGGAAGGCATGCGCAAGAACGGGGCAGCCCCGACTGGAAGCAGGCGCTGGCTTAGTCCCTCTTCCCTCAGTGGTGAGCAGATCATGGGTTTGCTAGAGGTGAATGTTGACCTTTACTCGAGTTAAAGTGTACCTGACAAGCCCACCCACTTTCTTGGAGTTGGGTGAGGAAGACGAGTAGAAAGGCACAACTAGCCCAATGATTAAACCATTTCTTGTTTTTGCTCAACTTGGGGAAAGTGCTAGGACAGGAATGCTTCAGCATTGGAATAAGAAGCCTCTGTCTTAGGAACTCATTGTTGGGTGCGCGGCCTTGTCCGTTGACCATGATCTTACGTGAAAGCAGATGGCTTCGTGCTCGGTTTGAGAAGCGCACCACCTACCTTCAGTGCCCATGTTTCCCGAAGTCTTGTGGTCTCCACACAGGCCCAAGGCTTCGGACTATCAGAACCCTAAGTCTTATTAGAAATGTCTGAGCCCGGACATTCCCAGGATACTGGGGAAGGAGAAAAATTGCAAGATACTTAATCTAAAATACTAGGGGTTAGAAGTGAACTGATCTAAATGTGCTCACAGACTCCTTTTCTCTAGCAGGTTAACCTAGACACGCAGCTCTGACCGTGTTTTATATTTCCCTGATTGATGACGTTTGGTTTCTTTATGCTTCAAGGAAAATAGTAGAAAACTTCAGAAGTTCCTAAGGGTGTAATAGGAAAGTGGGTTATTTTGAATTTCCTTTTTTGGAATTGTTTTCCAGTTCTTTGGTGGGTCTGGCCGGCCTTGTATTAGCACTAAGAGATGGGCTTTAAGGTTATAGTGGACATTTTTTTTCACTATTCTATCTAAAGCTTAGTGATCTAAAGCTTTGGATCCTTGAGGTATATGCTAGTGGAGGTGCTATTTTATAATATCTTGAATTTGACACGAAATGGGTGAAAGGGGAAATACCGTAAGCCGTGAACTTCGGTAGTAAACAGCACCTATTCCTTTCAGAAGCTTTCCTTTCAGCAGAGAGCCCGTGTGCATTATCTGTGACTGCCAGTGGTTTAACAAGATGGGTTTCAAAAGTTGCAGTGTGTTTTGATGCAATTTGGGAAATTGTTTACTTGACAAATAACAGATTCATAAAAAATTTCATGAAAATACTGAAGAGATAATTGAGGATTTTCTTAATTGCAATAAATAGCCTTTTTTCTAATGAAAATGAATTTTGTTTAGTAGTGAAAGTATGCATTTTAAAAGACTTCCAGATTTCTGCTTTTTATGTGAAGCCGCTGCACGAAAAGAAAATGGATGAAACCAAGTCTAAGAAACTTAACTTTTTGTCTTTCTTTTTCTTTTCTTTCCTTTTTTTTTTTTCTTTTCTTTTGGTGGGCTGGGGTTGGGGGGAGGTAATTTACATCTAAAATATCTTCTCCAGACACTGTATGCTCCTCTGCTAGACTGTAAGCTCTTCGAGGGCAGTCTTGTTGGGTTTATCTTTGTATCTTCCCAGCGCCTAGCATAGTGCCCTGCACGTCATAGGCGCCCAATAAATATTGATGATGAATGAAGTCCTTGTCTTTATAATGTGGCCAAATCACGGGGGTTGCTTTCCAGTTGACTCTCTTCTTCCTTTGTGAGTGCCGCCGTTTTCTCTCTTGAGCTCCTGGTGATGTTAGATCTGACGCTTCTTTCCTTTGGGGCCCACTTAGACTGCTCAGTCGTGGCAAATGCTGCCCTTCTGTTTCTTTGACCCAGCTTTTGATTATAAGAGAGCCAAGGGATAGTGCCTGGAGGAGGAGACTGACATGGCAAGTGCTTTACTTTAATACAAGAAAACCACCACATAGACCTGACTTCTAACAACGTCAAGGTGCATGTGCAGCTCATGAGGCGATGGGTCAGAACCTCCATCTTTGCTGAGCCCCTACCAGCTTGGGCACGTGGGCTGGCTTGGCTGACTCCTCACATCTGGCCCAAGGGGCTTGCACGGAACCTAGGAGGTTATAGAAATTGCAGTTTTCCTTTTTATATCAAAAGAGGAGTTTTTAACAAGATCTAGAACGTTTACCAGAAAACTCAAGACAACCAAAACAGTAGAAATACTCTTTCAAGGGTAGGGAATCAGCTGAGTTTAGAGGGTATTGTTGTTTTTTTAACATAAGGATAGGTTATCTGGGATGATAAAAGTTAAGCTAGATTTTGCTTTTGCTCGTTTTCTCCAAACCTGGGCAACCCTGTGTCAGAACTTTAATCTTAGGCATTTACCCTTATATTCTTTCATCATCTACTCTCCAAGTGGTAGGTTAAAGCAAGAATTCAGGGCTCATTAAACTCTTGCCTGATTAACGGGTTATCCCTGCAGAAGGAAAATGTATCACTTGAATAGGTGTGCCCTGCTCTGTCTTGAAGAGACCTCAAGCTTAAAGTAGCTTCTCAGCTGGGCCTTTCCTTCCCACTTGACAGCAAAGAAGCATTTCCCCTTTGGAATATGTGTAGTTGATACACATCCCACTGGTGCATCTCTTGAGTCTAGTTGGAAACAGGCATCTGGGAGTAGAAAAGTAAAGGTTCTGGTCAGCACCGGATACCTGAGACAAAAAGTTTCTGCTCCTAAATGGCACCATGTCCATGTCCTTGGCCCCACTCCCATGAAGGCTCAGAAGGGCTGTAACCTACCTGGGAAAGGAGGTGAATATGAAGGGCCGGAAGGAATCTGATGGCTGGGATGAGGAGGAGGATTCTGAGCTGCTCCAAGGGGTCCAGAGCAAGGTGATTTGGGCTTAGAGGGAACCAGATTCCATTAGAAGAGGCCCCCAAGTTTTGTGGGTTTGAGAAGCTTAGGGCTTGTTCCATTGCTGCAGTTTTCCCTGCTGCTTTTCAGACTCCCCTAATTGTTGGGGCGCCTGGATGGCTCAGTCTGTTAAGCGGCTGCCTTCGGCTCAGGTCATGATCCCAGGGTCTTGGGATGGAGCCCCGCATTGGGTTTCTTGCTTAGCGGGGAGCCTGCTTCTCCCTCTCCCTCTGCCCCCTTCCTCCTCTGTGCCTGCTCTTGCTCCAAATATTATCTTTAAAGAAAGAAAAAAAAAAAAAAGACTCCCTTACTGTTGTACTACATATGCAGAGACAAGCAGAGACTATACTACCGTGGGAATCCTGTTCACCTGCATTTAAAGGTTTACAAGTGCTGTTACGTTGGAAGAGGCTGACGACAACCTGATTGTTGCTCTCAGCTCAGCATTGGAGAGCTCAAGTACTCTGTGTTAATTAAAATGACACTAGCTGTTGTAATAGCTTAACTCCAAAATTTGAGTAGCTCAAGCAAGTAAGTTCCTTTCTTGCTTTTGCAAGGAGCCAAGATGGTGTCCAGGCAGTTTTCCTCATGGTGTGACTGAAGGACCCAGGGATGTCCCATCCTAGGATGGCCATCCCAGGGCTCACAGCCCTTCAACCTGACTGATAAGGACCAAGTGAAAAGTGGAGGAATCTTACCTGTTTAATTAGCTTGGCCCAGAAGTGTCACCGAGTCAGATTCCAGGGGTGAGAACTAATTGCAGAACCGTGAATAGGTGCAGGGAGTGTCGGGGAAGGACAGTGTTCTCTTGGGTGCTCACTTTCCAGAAACAACCATGAGATGAGCAAGGAGCATAAATCTTTCTTGCATAGCTAGTCTGTCACATTTTACTTATGCTCCCGTTGATCCTTTTGAACACCATATATATCTATATCCATGTATAATTTTATTTTTATATATTTTTTTA